AGTACTTCCAACACTATTAACGATTTAGATGATGAAAGTGAATGTGCTATCACCAAATTTGTGGATTACACAAAAGTAGGTGGGAAGGCAAACGGTGAGGATGACACAAAGAATCTACAGAGGATAGAGACAGATCGAGTGAGTGAATAAAAACTTGTCCGATGGAATATCATGAGGGAAAATGTGAGATTATGCACTTTGGCAGGAAGAATAGAGGAGCTGAATATTGTTTAAATGGAGAAAGAAAGCAGAAAGTTTCAACACAGAGGGATCTGGGATCTTCATACAACAAGTATAATAAGGTAGCATACAAGTTCAGCACGTAATAGGGAAGGCAAATTAACTTGTATTTATTTCAAAGTGAAAGGAATATTAAAATAGGGAAGTATTGCTGAAACTACACAAGGCACTAAGCAGACGACACCTGGAGAACAGTGAACAGTTTGGTCTCCTTATCTAAGGAAAGATACAGTGGCATTGGAGACAGTAGAGACAAGGTTACTTGGTTGATTCAGGGTATGAAGGATTATCTTATGAGGAGATATATTGAGTCTATACTCATTGGAATTTAGAAGAAACTTAGAAGAGATCAAGAAAGGAGAGGACACTGTGCTTCTGAGACAGTGCAAAAAAGCACAGGGCAGCACCAGGGGAAGAGCAGGGTCAGCAGCTTCTCAAACATTGTGAGCACGGGGACGACAACTTCATAATGAGAAAAGCTGACCTGTATAAGAAAGAGTGTAGAGGCAAGAGATAAAAGCTGGTGGCAGAGAATCCTTTAACTTGTTTCCATTTACCAGAGCTGAAGAAGAATATCACACTAAAACAGGTAGATGGTTAATAGATGCACAGAGACAGAGAATTAGAAGTAAAGGATCTTTGTGGAGCGCCACATGGATTCATCCAAGGACCTCAAATACTTATTTATATTAATGTCTTGAAGGAGGATGTAAACTACAATTTATCCTGATATATGCTGATGATACAACAATAGGTGGGAGGGTGTGAGATAACAAAGTGTGGAGCTAGAGGAACAGGAAAGCTGACGTTTTCGGTTGGGACCCCTTTTCAAAAATGGGCTGCCTGGCCTGCTGTGTTCCTGCAGCTCCACATTTTGTTATCTCTGACTCCAGCCTCTGCAGCTCTTGCTATCTCAGGTGGGAGGACAAGTTGTAATGTGAACATAAGAATTTGCAAGGGGTAAAGGTAGGTTGAGATCGTGGGCAAGAACTTGACAGGTAGATTTTAATGTAGGAAAATGTGAGGTTATGCAGTTTGGTAGGAAGAATCAAAATGCACATTATTATTTAAATGGAAAGAGACTCCAAAACACTGCAGCACAGAGAGATCTAGGTGTTCTTATTCAGGAACATAAACAGTTAGCATACATGTGATGAAAATAATTAAGAAGGCAAATAATTAAGAAGGCAATTAAGAAGGCCTTTATTTCTTTGGGTTGAAGTTTAGTAATAGTGAATTCTTGTTACAACTTTAGAGTGTCTTGATGAGGCCACACTTAAGAGTACTGTGTACAGTTTTGGTCTCTGTATTTAAGAAAGGGTATGTTGGCATTAAACACAATTCAGAAAAGATTCACTAGACTCATTCATGGGACAAAGGAGTTCACATCAAGAACAGTTAAACAGGTTAGGTCTTTATTCATTAGAGCTCACACGAATGAGGAGTGACTAGGAGGGAACTCAGGTGGGATAGTTCATGCACCAGAACACTACCACTTCTGCCTGAATTAAGTTCTGGGCAGCAAGAACCAAGCTCCACTTTCCTACCTTACCATCAATTAATGACCACTTAAGGTCCTATTCCTGCCAGGGATGAAATGATTTCAGCTCCAGGTGAGATAAGAAAGAGTTTTATGGCAGGGTGATAAGCTGTGAAAGATTGGGTAGTGTGGAGTTTGGCTCATTGGGAGGCTGTGCGGTCAGTCTTATTGTTCCAAGAATTAAAACTGATTTTAATCAGCCTAGTATTTCATGAATTACTATCCAGACACTGGAAGATCTCAGCCTAAAATAGAAAATGGCTGAAATGCACAGAAGATCAGTACCGACAAAAATAGGTGTTGGTATCTTGTATGAGAGTCTTCAGATCTATTCTCAAGCAATCTCCAACCCGCACTCTTGTCTGTTAAATCTCTACAATGAGCCTTGCTGAATTTATTCAATAAAAGGAAAATCTATTTGTGGTACCATTTACAAGATGCATTTCAGGAACATGCTTACCTTCCCTTAACACCACTTTCCAAATGTGCAAACTATACCATTAGAAGGTCCAGCATACATGGGAATACCACCATCTACAAATTCCTCCCCAAATCATCATCATCCTGACTTGGAACTATATCATTATTCCCTCAGTCTCAATGTCAGAAACTTCTAACTCTCTTTTACACCAGATGGACTGCAGCTGTTTAAGAAAACAGCTCACTACCACCTTCTCAATGGCAATTTGGTAAGGATAACAGCATCACTCATATTACATGAACCTATAAAAAGAAATAAGCTCAAAGTGCCAGAGGTAAACATATTTCATCTTTTATTCTTGTGATTGCATAATGTAAATCCCATTATAGTCTATTGTATGGAATTCTAGTCCCCTTGGTATAGACGGTAGTTAGTGTTGGCCTTCAAAAATATCCTCAAACCAGATCACTAAGAGTTAAGCATTAAAGGTTAATTGCTCATGGCAATCGAAGGGAAATGGAAACGTACATGAAAAACAGCCTCTTTTGACCATATAAAACTGAATTGCCTGAGAGAACTGTCCTGTTGTGCAGTTACATGGGGCCACCTGGATATGTTTTTCAGCCTGTTTTGAAGGTTGAAAAAGTACTGCAGTCATAATGAAATGGAGATTCAGCACACAATTTTGGATTCACAATTATGTTAATATTAAGAACTTTTCCCCGCTCATTGTACTTTTCACCATTGTTTCAGGGTTCATGAGACCAGTGTCATGGAATCTGAGTTAGAGCTCCAAGTGCCACCATCCCTGGCAGATAGAAGGCAGTGTGAGACTCACTTGTTTGTGTATATAAATAAACTATTACGTAGTTTAAGCGAATACATTCACTCATTAGTTTGAAAATGTCTTGAACATATATTAACAGAATAGACATTTATTGTCACTTTTACATGAAAAATACAGTGAAAAGTTTTATAAGTTACCACACCATGATGCCTACATCAATGGCAGAAGTTATACATTATGAGAATTAAACGTAAAATTAAGACAAAGTTCATCACAGTTCGTTTAATGCCTCCTGGGCGAGGAGAAAGCCAATGACGGAATAACCTGAAGACTCAGCCAGGATGAGACCACCATGCCAAGCTGCTGGATACTAGGACAAAAGCCTCCACCGAAGAAGACCACCATGCTGGGCCAAGACCGCCACTCCTGGACAAGTCCGCTTGCCAGGCCACTGAAATACCTGGATGCCGAAGATGAAGACCTCCACATGGGGACAACACTTTCATGCTGGAACAAGACCACCACACCGAGAGACCACCACACAGGGAGACCGCCACTCTGGGCCGAGACTGCCTTTCTCCTCCTTCAGGCATCTGGGCCTAGCTGTAGACCTGGAGCCTCAGCCTAGCCTGCGAGTCCAGGCCGTGGGTAGTCATCCCAGGACCCGGTCATTGCTCGCCAGGAGACCCTGAGTCAGAGTAATGCTGTATCTGGCTCATCCTCCTTCATCAGTCACTTTCTAGGCTTAAAAGAAAATAAAGAAATAAGAAGGAAAAAATAAAAAGAACAAAACTAAAAAGAAGGAATAAAGAGAAAGCTCCCTACTCCACCGCCATCTTGATAAAAAAGTATTAAAAAGGTTAAGCTAGTAAATTCGCATTATAACAAAGTGCACGTGTCTTCTTTCATTAATTTTGATCAGACCTTAAAAACCTGTTAGGTAGTTTCAGCCTAAAAATGCAGATAGTGAATGTGAATGCATATTTAACTAATGGACTGAAGATGAGGTGCTTTTACCTACATCGAAGCTCAAGTGAATCTGAATTATTTTCACAGGTGCAAAAGGGAGAATTGCCACATCTCAGCCTTTATCTCAGTTGCTCTGGTCATGTTCATTTATTAAAAGAAGATTGAATCTCCCTTCATATGTTTTGACATTTGTGGTTTTTGGTTTGGTCAACAATTAGCCTTTTGCCACATTATGTTAAGAATCTGTGGGAGTTTCTTACACTGTCTTAGACATTTTAATCAACTTATTCAGATGTATTATGACACACCTGTAGAGTAGGTGGGAGATGAACCCAGGTCCCCTGGCTCAGGGATAAAATGCAGGCATCACCATTGCACCACAAGGGCCCCACCACACTGTCTTATCCTTTCTGAAAGACAATTACTTGTGATTAAATGAATACATATACAGGCCAAAAGAATTTAGTTGGATTTTAATGTTACATATTACAAAAATGACAAATGATGAAGTGAGTTATGAAATCAGTACAATGTATTTAATGCAAAAACAAAGCTCAAGAACATGCTAATATTGTTAATTTATGTGACAAAACTACTAGACGAAACATAAGTTTACCTCTAGGTAAACCCTTTACATGTAATATACCTCATTCCTCTAAACGATTCACACCTTTAGTTAAGGCTAAAACTTCTGAGTCATAATTTGTGCTATAATATTTCCTTCAAGTTACATATTCCCACCTGTTTTAAGTTGCTGTCTCATTCATTGGGTGGCAATAGTTGTTACTTCTGTTATGGTACTCATTGATTGACGATCCCTAATGCGTCTTGCTCTGTATCAAAAAAAACTTACATTTTAACAGTTTTTCATGAGCTTTAAAGCCAAATAAGTATTTTTAAAATACAATCACTGTAATAGCTGCAGGCAACTTGTGCACAGCAAGCTCCCACAGTGACCACATAATTTGTTTTTATGATTGATTGATGGAAAAACATTGGCCAGAACGTCAAGAAATAATGATTACTTTTACATCGACCTGAGAGAACAGATGGAGTCTCAGTTTAACGTCTCATTCCAAAGGTGACATTTCCAACACTGCAATCCTCCATCAGTATTTCACTGGATTGTCGACCTTGGTTTTTCTCTGCTCAAATCCCAGAGTGTGAGCTGAATCCATGATCTTCTGACTCAGAGCCAAGTTTTACCAACTGAGCTGTGGCTAACAATTAAAACAGAGCACACTGTACTGAAAACACAGGTACATTTAACAAATCAACAACTTGCAATTTGGAAAGTTCTTTTAATATTAAAAAGTTCCACGGCATTTCTAAGGAACATTTTCTACAAAATTTAACACTCAGACATACCAGATATTACACAGGCATGCTTCTTTAAGCATTCGTGTATGATGTGATCTCTGTAGGCATCATAACCTGTTGGGTTATAAGGCATGTTATTTTTGATTTTCAGAGGTCAATGTGTCAGCATGCTGACTGGCGTGTATGGAACCTCAGTGAAACTTCAGAATAGCTGAACAGCCATGCAGCTGAAGAGAACACTGGTCAGGCAGAGAGTCCAATTCAAGTCTGCAGCTTGGCACCCCTTCAGTTCAGGAATTGGTCACGGTCAGTCCTGAAAATCAAGCAAAATAAAGTTCACACCTTAGTGGTCCATCAGTCAGGAGCATCTTACAAATTCATTCTGGGGGATGGGCCTCTGTCAATCCAAAATGTCATTATAAGGGAGTTCAAGGGTAGTAGGGTCTGTCTATGTCATTGTTGAGGTCCGTGAGTAACTTGAAGGACTTGTTTGGTTGTATTGGCTAGCTGAGAGAATGTTTACAGTCTTGGGGGGAATCTGAACACAGGAATGTTGGATCTGATGGAATAGGGTGGAAGAAGTCTCAAAGTGGGGGAGGTGTCACGAGGTTATCAGAAAACACGGACAGTGAAACAATGGCGAGGGGTAGAATGGGAGCATAACATGGGTCTCAGAAAGGAAGCTGCACCTATATGGTGCAAACAAAATGTTGAACCTCACCACCTTGATTCAAAAATGAACTATGTAGTGCCCAAAGCCCTTCTGTTTTCCAGAAGGCCACACCCAAAGTGGGAGAAGTAACAAACATCTTTTTCTGGAAGGGGTGGTGCTGATGGCTGGAATGTTTGACCAACTGAAAGGCCACTCCAGTGATCAGGGGTCCAATGATCAATCAATGTTAAGAAGGTGCCTTCAATTCCCACTGAAGAGGCATGTCTACAAAGCTCATACCTGGTGTCTGGAGGTGGCAGGGGAGCCCCTGTAAGGCTTTTCTACTATGTTTGTCCATCTAGGATTTGCTATGGAGGTTGTTGCATGTAGCAGTACCAGACAGTAGAAAGTTAAGGTGGTCATAGACACCCAGGCCTTGAGGAGTTCATGTTCCATGTATATACTTTGTGGGGACAGCAATGTAAAGTTGGTCAGGCTGATTACTGTGCATAGGAAGGGGTTCTGGGTAATCCAGCAGTACTAGATGCCTACAAGCATCTGTGATGTCAGTGGCAAAGAGCTGCCCTCACAAGCCACATTGCTCTGAATAATCACATAGGGCACATGCTCGTTGGGGACTTCACCAGGCATAAAAATAACTTCTATGATGGCATTACCTCGACCTTCATGTGCAAGTGCAGAGAATATACATTGCTTATCGATGTACTTTATAAGGTTTTTTTAGTCAATCCAGGTGCTGTCTTTATATCTGCAGCTGGGACAGAAGCAGTCTGCCAATGAGTATACCCTGGTGACTTTGAAGATTTTAGCAGATATCTTTTGGAAGCTCTGTGCCCAAAGGGCCCCAGCCTGCTGAGAATCTCCTCTGCCTTAGCTGCTGCAAGCAATGGGGTCACTAGTATCAGAGAGGTAGAAGGGCAGGGCAAGTGTCCTGAGATGAAGCTACCGGGGTGCCTGTTGGTGCTACACTTCCTGGTGAGCGCCTGCTGGCACATCCCTGTCTCCTTGAGACGCAGGGCCATCCAGAATGAGGTCCAAGTACTATGACCTCTCCCGCCTTGTTATTGATGCTGAGTATCCATGACAACAGCAAATGAAGTGCAGCATAGAGTGCACATCCAATAGCTACAGAGGGCTCTGCTGGATCTGGGTCACCTTTTACCACAGCGACAGCCATGCATTCATGTGTTGCAACCACTGTATTAGTCAAAAGGTAAATGGACTCCACTATCTTACACTTCATTCTAGCAAGGAGCTCTGGCATTCCCAAACCATCTCTGTAGATTAATGTCATTTAAGACCAGGTACAGTGACTTGTTTCTGCATGGGTCTCAGCAGGCGCCTGCTCTCTGGCAGTCATACAGTGCAGAAAAGCCCTTTAGACTATTGAATCTGCACCAATAATAATTACCACTTCAGGCTTTTGAGTGTCTGAGGCATTGGATGTTTCTGTCTCCGTTAACTATGGCTCTGTGTTAGTGACGTGAGTGCTAGTTTGTTTACACAGGTCCAGCTAATATATGCTCAAGGGTAACTATCTTTGTGCTAATACAGGGTGCAGGTGACTGCTTCACTGGTCTGACCTCTGAAATACCACAACTTTCATTCTCAAAGGTGTGCTGCTGATGGGGAGGGGCTGTGGACTCATGTGCCTGTGGAGGGGAAGAGAAATAAGTAATTGGTGAAAAAAACGCAAAGAATTGCAGATGCTGGAAACCAGAAATACAAACAGAAGTTGCTGGAAATAGTCAGCAGGTCTGGCAGCATCAGTGGAGAGAAAACAGTGTTATGTTTCAGGTCCAGCGACCCTTCTTCCAAACTGCTCGTAGGCCGGAAAAGGTTGATATATATGCTGAAGATCGAGTGGAGGCAGGGACATGAGTTAAAGATAGGTGGAGATGGAACCCAGAGGGAGAGAGAACAGCAATTGGGTAGACAAAGGAATGGGTAAAAGTCAGCCTGGGAGAATCAATTGTTGCTAATGGGAATCACAAGTAGTTGATAATGGGTTGTCTATGACAGCAGCCCATATGGTGACAAGGCCAGGTGTGTGTAGGTTGGGGTAAGGGCATAGGAGAAGGTGCTTAGGCCCTAAAATTATTGAACTCAACATTGAGTCCAGAAGGTTGCAGGGTCCCCGAGAAGAAAATAAGATGCTGTTCTTCCAGCTTGTGCAGCAAGCCTGAGACAAATGTTGGCAGGTTACACAGTGATATCTAGAAGTGGCAGGCAACAGGAAGCTCAAAAAAATTTTTACAGACAGAACATAGGTGTTATGCAAAGTGGTCACCCAGTCTGTGTTTCATCTTCCCCATGCAGAGCAAACCACATGGTGAGCAGAACAAACAGTAAACTAGACTGAGCGAAGTGCAGATAATGCACTGCCGCACCTGGAAGGTGTGTTTGGGGCTTTGGATATTGAGGAGGGAGGACATAAATGGGCAGGTATTACGCGATTGCATGGGAAGATGGTGTGGGGGAGTTTTGGAAGTGGAGGAGGAGTAGACCAAGGTCCCTACAGAAGGCTGAAAAGGAGGGGAGGGCAACTTGTGTCTGGTGGTGGCATTCTGCTGAAGGTGGCAGAAATGGGAACTAATGACAGTAACTATCCTGTACAGTTGCCTGGGACCTGGCTGGACGGGTATGATGGGAGGACCTTCTGGTGCCATTTGCCAAGCAGAGAAACCTCTTTTTGCCCAGATGGCATGCAGCAGAATCTCTAAGGAGGTGACAGTGAACTGCTGGGAGAGCTTCTGTTTATTTTGTGACATCTATCAGCTGGTTAGGGGCAAACAACACAAGCTGCTGTGTTGATCCTGATGACCTCCAGGTAGCCTTTCAATATACGCCAAAACCTTCAACCTTGGAAGGACCTGCCAGGGTTGAGATCTTCCTGCCCAATTGTCCCATATGATTTGCCAATGGCTTGCACAACATCTCGCTTGCTTATGCAATAATGTGAAAAGCACAAAATTACACAATGACCCACCCTGGGCCATGGTGGACATGATTAATTTTAACATGCCAGCACTATTTTTTAACCTCAGAATAGAAAATCCTGCTTTATATCTTCACAGTAACAACTTAGGTTCTGTAGCATTCTTCTAGTACAGAAAGATGCTTAAAAATACTTCAAGGGGTCAAAAGAAAACAGGCAGTGATCTGAAGGAATAGACTGGGGCAGTGCAATGATGGTTGAAGGAATGGGATTTGGGGAGACTTATTTAATCTTCAATTGCTTCAAAAGCAGCTTCAGAAAGCAGGGCAGATAGTGGCTGTAAGTGCAGCCTTTGCCGAAAACATGGAAACAGTACTGAAGGAGCAGAGTGTGGTTGGTGATTGTGGTGGGGGTTAAAAGCTAGGGAGACATTTGAGGTGAAGAACAAACTTCAGAAAGCAGAATAAAATCTAAAAGAGTACAAGTATATTTTTGTTACTTGTAAATATTTATAATTAGGCTATTCTGTGAATCGTTATGTTATGATTGACTTATTTGCACAACAAGATCCTCCACACAGCTTTTTCCAGTGTGTCAAGTCCATCATGTTGCAAATTGAAGCACACCCAGTGGCTGAGGTAATCGTTATCTTATAGCAACAGCTATATACTTGTGTTTTTACAGTTGGAACTGACTCCTCCCTGGAGCAAACAAATGGCTATGATCATGGCAAATGTAGTGTGCTGCTTATTGGGCATTCTTTGTCATACATCACTGGCTCACTGCTCATATAGTAGGCTGTCATGTACACTTATTGGGCTCATGACACATGTCCTATATAGCTCCAAGCTCATGCCTGCATGACATCTGCTGCTCACTGGTAATGAGACTTCCCTGTTGCATATTGCCAATTTTATGGCTGGAGATATTTGCTCCTATTCATTGCTAGCTCACTGCCCATGAAGCATGTCATTGCATCTACTATCGGCTTACTGCTCTAAGGACCTGTGGCCAAGAGAAAAAAGTGATGGTCAACAAACATGCTACAATGTGAAGGGCCTATCAGCTCACTACCTGGCATTAGTACCTGCTTTATGAAAACCTGTAGTAAATAGTATTTGGTATTACACTGGAATGAAATTAAAATAATTAATGACATCTTTGGTGAGCTACAGGAGAGAATGTTAATTCGAAGTTACTGAAATTATCATTTTATTTTTAGTGAGGTTTATCTGCTGCTTTATTCATCCACTAGGTGGCAATGATACATCAACAGTAGAGAGACAAAAATGTTAAAACAGTTGATCTGATAGGACATTTCAAATCTAAAATGTCCGATTAAATTATTATAATTTGTATTCAGACTCCTCAGAATTTCAAAACCAACCATTTTATGCACTTCACTCTATTTAGATTTTCATATCAATGCAAATCAGGAAAATCCATATTAATTATTTTCAGCAAATATCAGTTGTTGAAGCTGATTCTTATTCTGAATGATTAATGCTTCATGACTCAGAGTGGAGGACTTATTCTCTAAGTAAAGCATTTCTGAGCTTTTATTTACATGCATTTACCTTTACAACATAGATTAAAATCTACCAAATGACATTTTCATACGTTATAGATAAGCCAATTTTAGATGCTAGTGGGCGTCTCTGGAGAGTCTTCATCATACCTCCTGTAAGAATATAATCTTCCATTAGAATTATTTTGTTTCAGTTAGATCAAGTATCGTTTGGGAATAGGGTCAGCTGTACTAAAGCCACCGAGGCCAATGCAGTGGCCTACAGCAAAATCACACTTAAAGTAAATATTTTAATATTTTTCTTACAGATTTTAATGATCATGTACCTCCTATATACGTGAATATATACCGAGAAGCTATGAGATATGCCTCATTCGATGCTCACAGCTTTCTGGGAATCACTGACCAGTCATGGCCATTTTTGATATTTTTATGTGTTTGTTCAACTTGGGACATTTAATTTGATATTTAAAATTCTGAAATTAAAATTAAGATATAATAATCTTATTGAATGGCGGAGCACTTTCGTGGGGCCACAGAACCTATGTATTTGTGAAGCCAGCCAGTCATAGCCTTATAAATGCAATCTTTTTTAAATAAATAATGTTCTCAGGATTTGAGTCACACTACAAGGCTGCATTTTGTGACATTGCATACTTGAAGAAGTAAATATGTACCATCTCATGACTGGATATGATAGATCCTAATGAATTGGGTTTCTCTGACTATTCAATGAAGGTTTTTTCTAAGACAATCTAGTCTACTACACTTTCTGAGGGGATACCTTCAGGGTCACTGTCAACATCCTATTGTCGCAAGAGGCTAGAATTAGACAGCACAGATATCCTGAAGAGTTGTAGAGCTGGATGAGAATATGTAAATAGTGAAAGTGAAGCCATGGAGAAATCTGAAAGTAAGGATGAGAATTTAAAACTTGAAGCATTTGTAAACACTGTCCAGTGTAGGCGGACAGCAGAGCTCTGGATGACATTCAGTTTACAGAAAGTTGATCCTAGGAGGCTGCATTGAAATAGTCAAAACTTAAGGTATCAAAGGCATAGATGAGAGATTCAGAAGATGAGCTGAGGCAGGAAAGAGAGTCAGGTGATGCAACTGAGACAGAGGTAGGCAGATTTACAGGCTGTGTGAATATTTGGTCAGAAATTCATCTTGAGGTCACCAAGTTGGTAAACAGTCTGGTTGGGCCTCACGTAATCACTAAGCAGCAATATGTAGATAATAAATAAGAGGAGGAAAGGAAAGATTATTGTGGGTGGACACAAATAATGATACAGGAGAAGTAAGGAAAGCCACTGCAGGTGACAGGGTAGTAGGACATGATATTCTGACAATGAAGCTGAGAATGAAGTTCGGTAAGTGGGTTAATGCAATCTTACACATCCACAGGTCTAGGAACAAGATGGAAGCAAATTCCCACTAAGATCTCTGAATGGATGTGTCTATTCTGGCACATATAATTATCGGTGTTAATGACAGTAACTGCTGTAAGGTGCTGGGAAAAGGGGAGATGGTAGCACGCTAGTAATATCATTGGACTAATAATGCAGAGGACCAGATAAATAGCTGAGAGATATAGGTTAATTTCACCATAGTAACTAGCGTAATTTGAGTTCAATTATTATATCTGAAATATAAAGATAGTCTCAGTAATGGTGATCATGAAACATTGATTGTAATAAAAACTCCATCTGGTTCACTACTGCTCTTTAGGAAAATATATTTGTTGTGTTTATCTGGTCTGGCTTACACGACTGATCCACAGTAAGGTGGCTGAGTCTTACCTGCCCTCTGAAATAGCAGTCGGTTCAAAGGTAGTTTGGGATGGGCAACAAATGTTGGTCTTTCCAGTCTCATTCACATCTCATGGAAAGATAAAACACTGCTGGATTCTCTTCCTCAAGAGATCTAGGAACAAATACAAACATGCTGCCAGTAAAATACTGGCCACTTTATTGCTGTTATGTTAGGTTGAGTAAGTTCAACATTTGAAAACCAAGGTCCCAAGAGCTCACAAACACTTTAAAAATACATAAGGTAAAACACAGAACGTAGAAATTAGGAGCTGGAGCAGATTATTCAGCCCTTCATTATGATCATGGCTGATCTTCCAACTCAGTGCCTCATTCCTGCTTTCTCCACGTACCCTTTGATCCTTTTAGCTCCAAGAACTATATCTAACTCCTTCTTGAAAATATACAATGTTTTGGCCTCAACCACTTTCTGTGACAAAGAATTCCACAGGCGCACCATTTTCTGGGTGAAGACATTTCTTTTCATCTTAGTCCTAAATGGCCTATCTAGTATCCTTAGACTGTGACCTCCTGTTCTAGACTCATCGGTCTTGAGAACATCTTTCCTGCATCTACCCTGTCTAGTCATGTTAGAATTTTATAGGTTTCTATGAGATCCCCTTTCATCTTTTCTAAATGCCAACGAATATAATCCTAACCAATCCAGTCTCTCTTCATACCATCTCAGGTATCAGTCTGGTAAACCTTTGTCGCACTCCCTCCACGGCCAGATCATCTTTCCTCAGATAAAGAGCCCGAAACTGCTTACAATACTCCATGTGTGGTCTCACCAATGCCCTGTACAATTACAACAAGACAACCCCGCTCCTGTCCTGAAGTCTTCTTGCTATGAAGATAAACATACCATTTGGCTTCTTCAACATCTGCTACACAAAGGAGCTGGTCATCGACTTCAGAAAGCAGAGTGGAGGACACATCCCTTTCTGTATCAATGATACTGAAGTGAGGTAGTCCACAGCTTTAAGTTCCTAGGAGTAAATGTCACCAATAATCTGTCCTAGTCCATCTATGTCAATGCTAGTCAAGAAAGCACATCAATGCCTCTACTTCCTCAGAAAGCTAAGGAAATACGGCATGTCCACAACGACTCTCACCAATTTTAATAGATGAACCATAGAAAGGATCCTATCCAGATGCATCACAGCTTTATCTGGCAATTGCTCTGCCCAACACCACAAGAAATTACAGAGGGTTGTGAACACACCCCGGTTGATCATGAAAACCAGCCTTCCTTCCATTGACTACGTCTATGTTTGTCGCTGCCTCAAGAAAGCAGCCAATGTAATCAAAGATGCCTCCCAGCCCGGTTATACTTTTTGCCATCCTCTTCCATTGGGCAGAATTTACAAAAGTTTGAATACATATACCAACAGATTCAAGAACAGCTTTTCCCCCTATGTTATTAGACTTATGAACGGACCTCTCATATATCAGAATTGAAGTTTTTCTATGCCTTCTCTGTAGCTGTAACACTGTATTCTGCATTCTGTTCTATTAACCTGATGCACTTATGTAAACTATGATTTGTCTGGTCAGCACGCAAAGCAATACTTTTCACTGTGTCTTGGTAGACGTGACAATAATAAATCAAATCAAATCAAACCCTCCCTGCTTACTTTCAGTGACTGGTGCAGAAGGACACCAAGGTCTTGAGGCACCTCCCCCTTTCCAAATATATTACCATTCAGATAATAATCTGCCTTCATGTTTTTGCTACCAAAGTGGATAACTTCAGATTTAGCCACATTATACTTCATCTGCCATGCATTTGCCCACCCATTCAACTTGTCCAAATCGCACTGAAGCATCTGTATATCCTCTTCACAGTTCACCCACCCCCCACTTTACATTGTGCTGTTTGAAAACTTGCAGACATTACATTTAGTTTCCTCATCTAAATGATTAATATATACTGTGAATAGTTGGGATCCAAGCACTGATCCATGTGGTATTCCACTAGTCACTGGCTATCACTCAGAAAATGACCCATTTACTCCTACTCTTTGTTTCCTGCCTGCCAACTAGTTCTATATCTATGATGGGGCACAAGGTCTAATCCCGTGTGCTTCAATTTTAAACACTGATCTCTTGTGTGGGACCTTATCCAAAGCTTTCTGAAAGTCCGAGTAAATGACATCCACTGGCTCAGCCTTATCAACTCCACTACCTACATCCTCAAAAAATTGTCATAGATTTGTAAGATTTTCCTTTCTTAAATCCATGCTGACACTGTCCAATCCTGTCACTGCTTTCCAAGTGCTCTGCTATTAAAACTTTAGTAGTGGATTTGAGCATTTTCAGTACAACCGGTGTTCTTTAATTTCCTTTTATCTCTTTACCTCCTTTTTTCAAATATTGGGGTTACATTAGCTACTCTCTAATGCATAGGAACTGTTTTCCTTTAGTTATTCCCTCTCACTAGACCCAGTGTTCTCCAACATTTTTGGGGCATTATTTGTGTCCTCCTTTGTGAAGACAGAACCAAAATATGCATTTGATTGGTCTGCCATTACTTGGTTCCCATTATAACTTCCCATGATTCTGATGGCAAGGGTCCTACACTGATCTTTTTCTCTTCACAAAACTATCGAAGATTTTACAATCAGCTTACTTTCATACTCGATTTTCCCCTCTCTTAATCAATTTTTCTGTGCTCCTTTGCTGAAATCTAAACTGCTCCCACTCCTCATGTCTACTGCTTTTTTTTGCCAATTTGTATGCCCCTTCTGTGGATCTAATATTATCTCTAATCTCCCTTGTTGTCCATGGTTGGGCCACTTTTCCCCTTTTATCTTTGAGCCAGACAGGAATGAATAATTATTGTAGTTCCTCCTTGCACTCTTTAAACATTTGCCATTGCATATCCACCATCATCCCTTTAAGTAGCATTCCCCAATTATTCACAGCCAGCTCGCATCTCATACCACCATAGTTTCCTTTATTTAGGTGCAGGACCTTTGCCATCTTAATGAAGAATTCCATTATACTGCAGATACTCTTCACCAAGGACCCTACACAGCTCGATTGCTGATTATTCCTTTATCGTTACATAATATATAGCCTAGGATCGCTTATTCAGTAAGTTACATCTAGAATCATAGAATCCCTACAGCGTGGAAAGAGGCCATTCAGCCATCAAATCAGCACTGACCCTCCGAAGATCATCCCACCCATCCCTGTAACTCCACAGTTACCATGGCTAATATACCCAGCCTGCACTTAGGGCAATCTAGCCTGGCCAATCCACCTAACGTGCATATCTTTGGATTGTGGGAGGAAACCAGAGCACCCAGAGGAAACCCATGCAGACACTGGGAGAATGAGCAAACTTCACAAAGAAAATTGACCAAGGCTGGAAATCAAACCTGGGTCCCTGATGCCATGAGACAGCAGTGCTAATCACTGAACTACTGTGCTGAACACCTACAATACTTTTGGTGAACAGCAAAACAAAGACTTAAGCCAATAAAATGTCTGAAAACTCAAATATATTTCAGAGAATGTCTGGTGGGAGCAAGAATTGGCAATTAAGCTTGAGATTCGAAGGAACTGCTACAGCACCACCACTGGAGAAAATACACATTGCAACTATTACCTCTGACCCTGTTTTTCTTGATACACAGGGGAAGGCTCCTCTCTACAGAATTACAGGACAGATCTGATCAAAACCTTAGTGTGTATTTTTCATCTAATGTGATTGGAAAATCTGTACCTCTTTATTAGAATAGAAATAATTTATACTGTATGCCAAACCTTTTACAGAGTTTTTTTTTAATTTTGAACAGTGGGGTTGGCATTAAATGATTATATAGATTTTGGAAAGTTCACACTAGTGTCATATTCATTCAAAATTTAAAAGGGAATGGGAAAAATGATTGGGGAGGGGGTAGGGAACTAAGCTGAAACAAACTCAGAAAAACTCAGCAGGTCTGGCAACATCAAGAGTTAACATTTTGAGTCTGTTCAAGATCCTTAGGGGACAGTGTATTCTTTCCCCTTGTGGGAGTGTCTGGGACCAGATTGTGGGGTCGAAGATTCCAGACAGACACAGAATCATAGAACCCCTACTCTGTAGAAAGAGGCTATTCACCCTATCAAATCTGCACCAACCCTCTGAACAACATGCCACCCAGATCCATCCCCACAGCCCCTCCTAACTTGTACATCCCTGGTCACTGTGCAGTAATTTTTGGCATGTCTAATTCACTTAACCTGCATACCTTTGGACTGTGGGAGGAAACTACAGCAGCCAGAGGGGACCCATGTAGACACCGTAGAGAATGTGCAAACTCCACACAGTCACCCAAGGCTAGAATCAAACCCGAATCCCTGGCGCTGTGAGGCAGCAGTGCTAACTACTGAGCCACACCAAGGGAGTTGAGGAGGAATTTCTTAAGAGGCTAGTGAATCTGTGGAATAATTTACCAGCATGGGCTGGGTCATTTAGTTTATTGAGGTGGGCAGATTTTTAATGATTAAAGGGATCGGAGGAGGGGAAAGACAGGAGAGTGGAGTTGAGGATTATCAGATTAGCCATATGAATGGTGCAGCAGTGACGATGGGCTGAGTGGCCTACTTCAGTTCCTGTGTCTCACAGTAAACGCCCCGTAGTGTTAGTATTCCGCCAACCTCCTCCTTCCACGCAGGCGCCCTATCAACAACCCACACGACGGCCTAACCGTCACCACAGGACCCCTTCGCCCGGGGGTCTCAGTTGCGCCGGTTATTTCTCCTCTGTTGCGGGGAAAGCCTGCCGGAAAATATTAATATTCAGAAATGCCACCGGGAACGATCAGGGGGATGTCTGAATTGTGAGACTGGATGGGGGAATTGTGTGGATCCCCACACCGTCTTCAGGCAGTAGGATTGGCCCGCCGTCCTCTCCCTAGCCGGGGGGGACCTGGCGGCCCGCGCGGAGGCTGATGGGACCGGTTGAGGTTGTTGCCGTGGCGCCGGAGGCGCCGAGTGAGGCGACCAAACCGTCCATGGAGAGAATATCCAGCGAGAGGTTGCGGCTGCTCCTCTGCTTCTTGGGAGTCTTCGTCTGTTACTTTTACTACGGGATTCTGCAGGAGACGATGTGAGTGCTCGGGAGAGAGAGAGAGAGGTTTCCAGATTGAAATGGCGGTGCAGCTCTGTTCCTGGATGCTCGTCGCTGGGGGGCCTGGGATGATGGGGACAGCAATGATGAGGTGGAGATGCAGCAAGGAGGGAGACTCATCAACCTCCCCTACCCTGGAGCTGGGCCTGTTTTCCACTATTCCCCGAGGAATAAACAGGCTTACTGTTTCCTTCGGAATTATAAAGCCAAGTGAAATGGTGCACAAAAACAAATTGCTGGAGAAACTCAGCAAGTCAGGCAGCATCTGTGGACAAAGAAACATTTCGAGTCCAGTGACCAGTCCTGAACAATTTTCTCCAGCAATTTCTGTTTTTGTTCATTTCAGTTCTCCAGCATTTGCAGTTCTTAGTTTTATTGCAGTGATGCACAGATGATGCAATGCACGCTCTTGACATGTGGCAGTTTTGCCTCCTGTAGTTGCAGAGCTATTGAGACCCAAGTCCTTCATAGTCATGCACTGGAAACCAGTTTTAGGACACGGGGTTGCTTCATTTGTAAAAACTAGTTCTGCTGCCTAAAGTTTTTTTTCCATATTCATTGTTTCTCTGAAAATGTATAAATACTTCCGAAGGCAAAACGTCTGCCTTTGATTTTCGTGACTGTTACGCCACTATATAAAAATGTCTCTAATGTAACAATATAAATTTAAGACACTTTGCCCCAATGTTTTAGACTGCCCATTGCTCTTAAGTGTCTGCCTTTCATGCTTGTTCAGAAGCACTGTATTGCAATGAGATTACTTTTCTAACTCATCTAAATTTGAGATGTCTAATTTGCTCAATCTCCTATCTTTGGATGGGCCTCTCATCCCAGGAACCAATTTAGTCAATCCTTGTTTACTGCCTGTAATTCATGTATATCTTTCCTTTAAATACGGACAACAAAACTGCATACAGTACTTCTGACGTGGTCTGATCAATGTCCTTTACAATTTTAGCAAGATTTTCTTATCTTTTATAATGTCAATCCTATTACAATAAAATTCAATGTGCAGTTTGCCTTTTCAATTGCTTTCTATAATGCATTGCTAGGCTTATTCCTTTTGTGAATAGCTAGTGTCTCAATATTAACATTTTAATGTGTCACTATTTTTAAAAAGAAATTCCACTTTTCTGTTCTTATTGCAAAAGTGATTGACCTTTCAATTTTTTGCATTAAAAGCCATCTGCTCCCTTGTTGCCCGTTCACTGGACCTGTCTATATTCTTTCTGTGTCCTGATTTCAGCTTATATTGCCACCTAGCTTTGCATTGTCAGTAAATCTAGATACATTGCAAGTCTCTTCTTGTAAGTCATTAATATAGATATTAAATACCTGAGTTGTGAACATTGATTCTTTTGACATTTTACTAGTTACACCGCCAATTTGGAAATGTCTAATTTATTCCTACTCTATACTTTCTGTCTATTAACCAATCTTCACTTCATGCTAATATATTACCGCTGACTTCTCGTCCTTATCTTGCATATTGGCTTTTTGTGTGAGACCATATTTCTTCTGGAAATCCAAACATGCTACATTAACAGGTGCCCCTTCCAACTCTACTAGTTACTTCCTTAAATAAATCTCAGTATCAAAGGACATTGGTTAGGCCACTTATACTGCATTCATATCTGGTCTCCCTGCTACAGGAAGGCTGTTGTGAAACCTGAAAAGGTTCAGAAAACATTTACGAGGATGTTGCCAGGTTTGGAGGGTTTGAGCTATGGGGAGAAGCTGAGTAGGCTGGAGCTATTTTACTTTGAGCGTCGGAGGCTGAGAGATGATCTTTCAGAAGTTTATAAAATCATGACTGGCATGGATAGGGTGAATAGCCAAGGTCTTCCCCCAGGATAGCAGAATTCAAAACTAGAGGGCATAGTTTTAAGGTGATAGGGGAAAGATTTGAAAGGAACCCAAGGGCAACTTTTTCATGCAGAGGGTGGTGCGTGTATGGAATGAGCTGCCAGAGGAAGTGGTGGAGACTGGTGCAATTACAACATTTAACAGGCATCTGGATGGATGGGTTTAGAGGGATATGGGCCAATTGTTGGCAAATGGGTAGAGAACTATTTTCTATGGTTAACGAGTGATGTAGAGCCATATTTTAGCTTTGTCAGTTTAACTTTAGTCCATCTTAAAATGGTAGCAGTAGTACAGCCAACAATCTGAGCCGCAGGCTATGACATTGCTATCTGAGGACAGTATCTTAGTGTTAGCCTCTTTGAATTTGCTCAGGACAAGTCAATACTTCATCCAGGATGTTTTAGGAACAATCCTGATATTTTGTTTAGTTTGCATGATACGCAACAAACATAAACCAAATTTGATTTGCATATGTTAGACCTAAAAGTTTTTGGAGATGTGGTTTTGAAGCCTGTGTTTGTAGTCTGGTCTCTGTTTATGCAAGTAATTTTCTTTACATATTTGATATCTAACTGGTGACTAAAATGATTGCGTGATTTGTGCTACAAAAAATTATTGTCTAACTTGAACCCTTGCATTTTTTGTGTTACAGAACCAGAGGCAAATATGGAGAGCAGCAAGAATCATTTACTTATGCAAAATCACTTGTGTTTGTACAGTGTATTATTAATGCCATCTTTTCTAAATTAAGTAAGTAATTTTAAATGTGTAGAAAAACAATAATAAATATTTTTAGGAGTATTTCTATGTGTACATACGATATGTTGAACTGTGCTAACTTTTCTAGTTTTTGGACTTACTGTAGTGGAAAATTTATGACAATTACTGGCCTGGATCTTGTGGTCAGTAGCAAAGTGGAGGCATACACTGCTGATTGCATTTTAAACCGTGATCATGTCTTTTTCATAGTCTGCAGCAGAAACCTGCTTTCCCAGCTGCAGTTATGAATCTATTGGCAAGGTAAATAGGGATTCCTAGTGTTAAGGTGCATTCCAAACAAAGCTTTGGGCTCCCTCCTTCCAAAAGAAAACCATGAGCTGGAAGCGTTCACTTTGAGATCTGACTTCAGTTCAAAGATAGTTTGTATTTATGTGGTGTGAATGGTGACGTTTTTTGTTGGTGCAGTATCACTAAGCGTAGATATTTACACATGTAGAGAATTGCAAAGTACTGTAGTAGGGGAACATGGTATTCAAAATTACAAAGTTGTTTGTCCACATATTTAAATTGTATTAATTAATATATTTGACACATCTTGTTCTAGTCATACAATTCTTGGAAAAACCTTCATTTGAACGAACGCCACACTGGTTGTATGCAGTTTGTTCAATGTCCTACTTAGGAGCAATGGTTTCTAGTAATTCTGCACTCCAGTATGTCAACTATCCAACACAGGTTGGTATTGGACATTGCATAATTTTTTCAGAAAATGGTTTTTAATTCAATGCTCAAGTCTGTTCTACTTAAGAATACATTGCTGAAATAATGTTTTCCTTTTAAAACAACTAGATATTTTGTATTTATGGATATGTATTTTTATAGTGTCATTTGTGCTGTACAACATTTTAGAGGTAAATAATTTGAATCAAACCTTCGCTAACCTTTGTAATTGTTGTTCTGATTTATTTATTCAAAGAAAGTGGTAGCTTTTAAAAAGTCTCTCCTCTCTCCACATTCTATAATTATAAATATTTGGATCTCCTTGGATAACACTTTACAGATCTTCTTTGACAGTAGCCATTTATATTTGCAAGTGTTAAAGAAATTTACTAAACAGATGAGTACCTAGATCATGTTTGAGAGAATAATGTGTTTCAAGCAATCCAAATATTCCAAATTCACACAATGTTTTACTGGAATAGATCCAGAAAACTGGATTTAAAAAGTACAGTCTAATCATTAAAGTGCAATGCAAGTTATATGCAAATATTTATTAATCTTGATTGTTGTAATAGTTGCTGTCCAAACTATTTGCATTTTATGTGTCTAATGAACTAAGTTGCCAGTTGATTCCTACAACAATACTTCATTAATTCAGTTTCTAATAATAAAAGTAATTTTTGTTTAGAAGCTCATCCTATGTCTCAAAATTAAATTCCAATATCCTGCTTCATACAAATCCTTTGTGTGTATTATTGAACCGCTTCGTATGATAATGTACAGAGAAAATATGGTCAACATGTCTGAATACACTGTGCCCTGCTGTGAGAAAATAACATTGAAGAAATAGAGTGGTTAAACAGTGGAGGAATGTTGCATTATGATATTTTTTTCTTCTGCCTTTGCCTTCCTCATTTTGATCAGAGTCATACAGCAGGAAACAGACCCTTCAGTCCAACTTGTCCATGCCAGCCAAGTTTCCCCAAACTAAACTAGTCCCGTTTGCCTGTGTTTAGCCCATTTCCCTCTAAACCTTTCCTATTCATGTACCTGTCCAAATGTCTTAAGTGTTGTAACTGTTCCTGCATCTACCCCTTCCTCAGGCAGGAAAAAGTAGCTCCTCAGCTGCCTTTTAAATCTTTCTCCTCTCACCTTAAAATTATGCCCTCTAGCTTTGAACTCCCCTATCCTAGGGAAAAGACGTTTGCTATTCATTTTATCTATGCCCCTCATGATTTTATAAACCTCTATAAAGTCACTTCTCAACCACCTAAGCTCCAGTGAAAAAAGTCCCAGCCTTTCCTTATGACTCGAGCCTTCCAGTCCCGGTAACATTCTTGTAAATCTTTTCTGCACCCTCTCCAATTAAATAATATCCTTCTTATAGCAGGGCGACCAGAACTGTACACAGTACTCCAAATGTGGCCTCACCAGCATCCTGTACAAGTGCAATGTGATGTCCCAGTTCATACTCAGTGCTCTGATAATGAAGACAAGCATGTCAAATGCCTTCTTTACCACCCTGTCTACCTGTGACACAACTTTCAAGGATCTATGTACCTGAACCCCTAGGTCTGTCTGTTAGACCACACTCCCCAGGGGCCTGCCATTAACTGTGTAAGTCCTGCCCTGGTTTGCCTTACCAAAATGTGGCACCTCACATTTATCTAAATTAAACTCCATCTGCCATTCAGTCCAACTGATCAAGATCCCTTTGTAATCTTAGATAACCTTCTTCACTATCTACTATACCACCAATTTTGGTGTCATCCGCAAACTTCTTAACCATACTTCCAATGTTCTTATCCAAATTATTCATATAAAGGACAAACACCAGTGGACCTGGCACCGATCCCTGCAGAACACCGGTGGTCACAGGCCTCCAGTCTGGGGGAAAAGCTCTCCGACACCACTACCCTTTGTTTCCTACCCTCAAGCCAATTTTGTATCCAATTAATAGGCTCTCCCTGAATCCTTTATATATAACTTAACTTTACTAATCAGTCTACCATGCAGAACCTTGTCGAAGTTCATGTAGACAACATCTACCGCTTTGTCATCTATCTTCTGGGTCACATCCTTAAAAAACTCAATCAAGTTGAGACATGAACTTGATAGCATGATTTTGTGCGCAGGAAAAATTCAATCTCTAATCAGTCCTTGCCTCTCCAAATGAATGTAAATCCTGTGTCTCAGAATCCCCTCCAACAACTTACCCACCACTGACATCAAACTTGCTGGCCTATAGTTCCCAGACCTCCCCTGCAGCCTTTCTTAAATAAAGGCACAACGCTAGCCATTCTGCAATCTTCCAGCACCTCTCCCGTGGCTGCAGATAACACAACTATCTCTGCTGGGGGCCCTACAATTTCTTCCTTAGCTTCGCACAATATCTTGGGATACACTTGATCGGGTCCTGGAGATTTATCTCCCTTTATGCGTTTTAAGACCTCTAGCACTTCGTCTTCTCTAATGTGAACTGTTTTCAAAACATCAGTATTATATCCCTGAGTTCTCTAGCCTCCATTTCTTTCTCTACAGTAAAAACTGATGCTAAATATTCATTTAATATCTCTCATCTCCTGAGGTTCAACACAAAGATGACCTTGTTGATCTTTAAAGGGCCCTACTCTGTCTAGTTGCTCTTTTCTTAATGTACTTGTAGGATCTCTTTGGATTATCCTTAATGTTATCTGCTAAGGCTATCTCATATCCCATTTTGCCTTCCATATTCCCTCTTAAGGATTCCCCCCTACTCCCCTTCTACGCTTCAAGAGATTCACTTGATCCCATTTGCCTCTACCTGGCAATTGCCTCATTCTGATTCATGACCAGAGCCTCAATATTTCTATAATGTGGAGGTGCCGGTGTTGGACTGGGGTGGACAAGGTCAGAAATCACATGACACCAGGATATAGTCCAACAGGTTTATTTGAAAACACAAGCTGTCGGAGTCTTACACCACCTTCAGGTGTTAATGAGAGAGGCAGTATCAGACACAGAATTTATAAATAAAAGATCAAAGGATCACACCACTGATGAGGATGTACTAAACAAACCTAAGATGCTGTTAAATCTTTAATCAAGTAGGTGGTTTTAATTGATTAGTATGTATATGTAAATCCTGAATTCCTTTCAAGTCACTGCCCTGAGAGAACTAAAGGTTTCATAAGTGTAAAGAAGTGACGTTTTATGTCAGACAACGCATGTTATGTGTGAGGCCTTGTTTAGAATTTGTTTGGAGTCAGACTGGCTTTATTTAAATTTATAAACCATGGCATTGACTGACTGTCTATAAGTTGTGTTCTTTTTGAACAAAGTAGAATGTGTGTGTGTGTGTGTGTGTGAGAGAGAGAGAGAGAGAGAGATCAGTACTCATGAGAGCATCCTTAACCAGGATCTTGGGTTCATGTCGGACTACTAGTGACTCCATCACACTATACACTGTGTCACACATCCATACATACGCACGCACTCACACTCGCACTGATCCTCTCTCATACGCACACTGTCTCACACACGTGCATGCCCACACACACATTCTCTCACAGATCCTGTCTCGTATACAGACTGTCTCTCTCAAGCATACATTCTCACAGACACACTCCCTCTCTTTGTCTTTCTCACGCATGCACGCGCATGAGTGTCAATGGGGTAAATTTGTATTTGCAGATACATTCTATTTTGTTCAGAAAGTGCACAATTTATAGACAGTCAGTCAATGTGGCGTTTTATAACTTCCTACTTGAGAAATAAAACCAGTCTGACTCCAAATCAAAACACAAACAGATTCTAAACAAGGCCTTACACGTAACATGCATTGTCTAACCTAAAATGTCACCTCTTCACACTGATAAAACCTTTAGATCTCTCAGGACAGAGACTTCAAAGGAATTTGGGGATTTATATTTACATATTTGTCAATATCTCGATTGATTGATTGTTCCCTACCAGCCTTACCTGCACTCTGCCTTTGAACTCTCATTATCTCACTTTTGAAAGTCTCCCACTTGCCAATTGTCCCTTTCCCAGTCCCATTAAGGGATCATCCCATTCTTATTTCTGAGTTCCACCCACATAACTTCACTGGATGATCTTCCAGGAAAATCCTCTCTAAGTACAGCAGTAACATTTTCCCTAATCAAAAATGCTCCTCTTCGTCTCTTGCCTCCCTTTTTGTCCTACCTTTCGGATCGAGACTCCAGAACATTAAGCTGCCAGTCCTGTCACACTCATGTGCCTGCACACGCTCTCTCTCTCCCTCACACATATATGCTCTCTCACCCCATAACGCGTGCGCGCACACACACACAGACGCACATGTGAATGTGTCCTGTCCTGTCCCTCCCCAAGCCATGCCTGTAATAGCTGCGATATCCCAGTCATGGTCTGTGTTCATCAACCTTACTGTCCGACCTCTTGCATTGAAACAAATGCAGTTTAATTCTAAAGAATTACCTCGTTCTATGACGTGCTCTCACCTGGTTGTCTAACTAACTTGCTGTGTTTAACTCCAAAACCATCTTCAGTTTTCTCTCTGTCCTCACTGCTGCTTAGGATCATCCCCACCACCCACTCACCATTACTAGTTTAAAGGCTCCCGAGTAGCACTAGCAAACTTCCCTGCTAGGATATTGGTCCCCCTCCAGTTCAGGTGAAACACAGCCTTTTTGAATAGGCCTCTTCTACCCCAGAATAGATCCCAATGATCCAAAAGTCTAAATCCTTGCCCCCTGCACCATCTCCTCAGCCATTCATTTATCTGCCTTATCTTCCTATACCTACTCTCACGAGCACATGGCACCAGAAGTAATCCAGAAATTACTGCCTTTGAGGTCCTGCTTTTTAACTTCCTACCTAACTTCCTGTATTCTATCTGCAAAACTTCATCCCTTCCTCTACCTATGTCATTTATAACCAACATGTACAACGACCTCCAGCTGTTCACTCTTCCCTTTGACAATTTTCTGCAACTGCTCCAAAACATCCTTAACACTGGCACCAGAGAGACAGCACACCATCCTGAATCTCGCGCAGATCTGCGGAATTGCCTGTCTGTGCTCTTGACTGAAGAGTCTCCTATCACAATTGCTCTTTTGAACCTTGACAAACCCTGCTTAAAAGGTTCAGTCCTGGGGCCCAAGACCTGACTGCCACTGCTATTTTCTTCTGAGAGACTACCCCAACCCTCCTGCCCCACCCTAACAGTATCCAAAAATGGTATATTTGTTTGCAAGGGGATAGCCATGGGATACCCCTGCAGTACCTTCCTACTTCTCCTGACAGTCCCTTCCTACTTCTCCTGTCAGTCACCCATTTGCCTGACTATACCTGTGGTGTGACCACCTCTCTAAAGCTACTAACCTTCAATCTGTGTCTCCTGAATGATCCACAGTGACTCCAACAGCTGATCCAAAGAATACAACACTAAAATAGAAACACTGCTTACTTATGGTTTCTCTTCATTTAATACTAACTTTTCCTTAGTTGGGCATCTACGCTGTCTGAAATCAGTTTTAGGGACCATTCTGTACATTGTTGTATCCAAATGTGCAATAGCGAAAAAATTATGACAGTGCGTTATATGGGATATTTCATTTCTTAAATAAAATACTATTCCTTATGACAGTTATTGTATTCAACTTCTAATGGTTATTCTTTTCATTTCAGGTTCTAGGTAAATCATGTAAACCTATTCCAGGTAAGTTAAAATGAAGCAGTTGAACTGATATAGGGTCCTGTAGTACCTCCGCAATAATGACAGATATGCACATGCCACTTTGCAGAGGCATAAAGGAAATGAATGCTGAGCTTAGGGCTTAAGATCACGAAAGATAAGATCGCCAATGGTGGAGCAAAAGGTTAGGAAAATACACAGAGGTGAGAGGTAGGCAGGGCTCGGGTGTTACGTGGCTGATTTCAGAGATAGGAAGGGACAAGGCCATAAGGACTTTAAACAGAAGGATAAGTTCCTTCTCTGGGGCATCACTGAGGGAGGAGAAGGGAATTATTGGAATGGATGAGTTCCTGTTCTCTGCAAAAAGATAATGGAGGTGAATAGGCAGTTTTTTTTGATAAGAAGTCTGAAACTAAATTCAGTCATTTTGGATCAGTTTAACAAAGTGGCCTTGGAAGGGATGCAGAATTTATGACATGAGCTGAAACAAAGACTTTGTTTTTCCAAGATGCACCAACATACTTCACATCTTACAAATCACTTGATGAACTGCAGTTACTGTCACTATGTGAGTAAATGCAGCAGCCAATTTCTT